ATGTTTAGAGTGAGCAGGCTACGACAAGAGTACAGGAAGATTACGGGAAGACGACCGGAAGGGCACTGTGCGTTTCAGGCTAGAAACGGTGGAACGTTTTCGCGAAGCCTCTGCGAAGCCCCCGCGAAGCCCCCGCGAAGCCTCCGCGAAGCCACCGCAAAGCCACCGCGGTCCAACTTCCATGCTCCGCCCCTTTGAGGCCCAGCCATATCCCCTAGTCCTGAAGCTCAATGCCTCTCTTGCTGCCTTTCATCACCCCCTTTCGCATGGACTCAGCTTGATTCAACAACATGGGGGCGCGAGGTTTGTGGAACAAACATCCGCGAAGCCCGGCGAAGCCACTCCGCGAAGCCACAGTCTTGCCGCGAAGCCTCGCGAAGCCAACCCTTCCACAAATTCTGGCCCCGCGAAGCCCCCCGCGTAGCCTCCCCAGCAGTGTATAAGCCCTGAACCTCTAAAAAAAACAATGCTCACATGACACTGCTTCCCCTCACTGGTATGTTGTAAAGTTTTCCTGCCGCTCGGGTGGGAGGATGCGATAAAGCTGTTTCTTTGTACGTAGCTGAACTGTTTGCAGTCCGGGTTGGATGGCGAGCATGGCCTCCGTGCTGGGCTATGCCTCAGCCGCAGCTGCACATTTAGGAGCTGATTAAGGTATTTGGGTCGGGTATTTTGTCATTCCCTAGGCCAACGTGGAGGTTCAGGTTCTTTGTGTCATGCTGTTCTGGTCTGTAGCACCTCTAATTGGACTCATGCTCAGATAGGAAAGCCAACCTCGATTCGAAAAAGAAATTCATTTGCACATACTAGCGCATGGACAGATCTTATTCAGAAGCCAACCGTGTTTGTGTGTGTGACTGTACGCAATTGTGTGGGACGTTGCCGCCCTCCTTCCTGCCGCTGGCCTAGCTTGCACATAAACCGTCGTCTCGAATTTTTGGTAGCGTTGGAGCTGGCGCGCGGTGCTGAGACTTAAATCAGTGGGAAACCAAAGCCTTTACCCGGTTGAATGCACACCGAACATCAGTTGGACTCAAAGCATGGTGAAGCTATACTCCACATGTGTATTTGTGACAGGAACCAACAACGGGTTCTGACGAAGGGCTTCCAGCGCGCATAAGCAATCACAGCGCAACTGTTGCACCCCGACGCAATATGATGCATTGCGACACGAGCGTGTGGTACGAGGTGGGGCACGTCCTGCACAGCAAAAGTTCTGGATCGCTCATCATGAAGCATCACGCTCCGCGACAAGGACACGCATCGCGGCGCATCTTGACGCGGCACGCATCATCTTGAGGATTTTAGACGCATACCAGAACCGTTTGGTTGCTTTTTTACAATGCATATTCAGGGCCACCCGCACTGTGGTGACTGCAAGCGCGGACTTCCGACTAAACGTGCAACACGTGCATATATTGGCACTCATACGTGTCGTTTGCCAATCATTGGAGTTGCAACGTGTTTGCGACTCGTTGCAACTTCCAGCCTGGCATGAAACGTAGCTGGAGGCGGCACCGTGATATTTCCGTCCCAAGCTGGTACACCAGACAGTCGAAACGGCTTCTCCCTGCCTCACGAGCTCCCTTACCAGGTTCTAGTGGCGCGCAGGCGTACCTAGGTCAATTCCTGCATTCCAGCACAGCACTATGGCATTGTATGATCTTTGGGATCCTCTATTCAGCTGCAACAGTTGTGTCAATTGGATATGTGTTGTTTTGATCTGTATGAGGAATTGTTGATGCTCTAGAAGCATACTTCTTCACCATTTGGATATATTTGTTTTCTTCTTTTTTTCAACAGTAATGTTATCGATAGATTCTATGAGTATCACAAATATATTTCCTTCCGATCTAAAAGATAAGAGCTCGTTTTAATCAGCTGATAGATCAACAAACCGATGATAAACCTGATAAAATGATTGTTGCAGTAGATGGAACGCAACTGTCTTGTTGTTTACTGAATATGGCAGATCAATTGGTCAAACAGAGTATCAACATTGATCTGGAGCAGCTGCAAAGCCTTTCAGGGGAGCAGGGTTTTATTTGCTGATCACAATGTCTATGCATCAAACACATGAAAGCTAGTTGTGTGCTGTAATGCTCATTGTTGTATTCTAGGAAGTTGAAAGAGCGCAAGTATCGTCCTGCCATCCAAGGAAGTGGAGGGTAGTGCCACTTGCGTTCCTTGCAGCGGCGGCAAAGGGACGACGGACCAAGGCTCCACCAGTCCTAGTGCCTCAGCTGGTCAGGGTGGTTGGACCAGCGCACAGATGTGGTGCGGGGCTTTCCTTCAATACATCAGGTTTGTGCTGTAAGGTCAGTCCCTTTGCAACAAACCACTCACAAGCGTGTCATCCGCCAAGATGTCCCATGCGGGCGCATGAAGCATGACGGCCGTGGGTTTGGAGGCTCAAACCCGCGCCGAGGCATGTGTGTTTGTTTGGCCGAGCGACGACCTGTAAGAGATGCTGCGGGCTTTGAGAGCTGCGTGGACTGCGGCAACGGACTGAGCTGTCCGGGGCAGAGTCAGAGCTATCAGAAGGAAGGGCCACTCGGCAGAGGCACAGCGATTCTATGGCGTTGTTTGCACGAGTGAATTGAATGATGGCTACAATGGCTGCAACTAAATTCAATCGCTGCTCATGCTGTATGGGGGTTTTGGGGCAGGCCGTTCGGTAAAAGTCAAACGTTTGTGGCCGAGCAAAGATCAAGAGAGGTTTGTGTATATTATATATATATATATATGTGTATACACATGATTTTGTACATGTTGAAGTGGAAAGGTGGGCCCTGCGGGGGAGGGGATGACCATATGTGTATATATATATACACACTAATCAAGTTTCAAACCGTTTGTCACTGCGACTCACGCAGGTTTTGGGTGGACGTTATGGATGAGCAGCGCATGACGTTGGGGGTCTACCGGTGCCGGAACGACCTCGAGTGCCCCGAGGGGCCGCTGGGGACATGCGCGCCGGGCCGCGAGGGCCGTGCCTGTAACAACTGTGCCTCTGCTAAATTGTGGACCCCTCGAGATGGCAGGTGGCCTTGTAGTTCACAAAAACAGGTTCCTCGACTTAGTGCACCTATTGTGCCAAGGAGGGCCCTTAACGAAAGTTGAAATATGTTGGTGTCCACTTTCGAGCTGCAGCCATACGGGAATACTTGTTCAAACGATGTTTGGTCATTCCATCGAAACAAGCCCCTTTTGTTCATTGGAAGCGTCCCTGACTTCATGCCACACATCAGTTCGAATTCTGCGAATTGCACTAAGCAACCACTACGGTTCATAGTCCTGTGGTCACAGCTTTACAAGACACGGAGTTGCATACTATGTATGCAATGTATGCATGCATGTAGAGGCTCAGGGTGCTGCAGCGCCTGGCTGCCGCCATAGCATTGCACACACCCTTCCTTTGCACAGTTTTGGCAACAATTGGCAGTCCTCTTTGCTTGCACTGCATTTCATGTCTATCTCAGAAACATCGAAGCGCTACTGAAAACATGATATGTGAAAGCAGCCGATCTCCCAAAGCAGTTTTTGAAGCCATCTTTTCAGAGAGTCGCAAATTGGGTGACCGCGCTGAGGGAAAACACCCAAAGGCTTGGACCACCAGGCGCCAGTGCAGTGACCATGTCGTGTAGTGCAGTGCAATGTACTGCAAGATATTGTGATGTATCAAGATGTGTATGCAACGCAATCAGAAGTATTGCAATTGACTTGTAACGCAATGTGTGTATGTATATGCCTATGCATTCCGTGGCAGTGACAAATGCAATGTGGCGAGTGATGCAATGCAATAATATGTGAGGTAATGCAATGCAAAGTATCGATGTATGTAAGGAATGCGTGTCATACATGCCATGTAGTTTAAGATATTAAATGTATGTATGGTGCGGCATGATTTGTTTGAATGCTATGGTACGGCATGTATGGTATGGCATTGTATGTGCATATACGTAAATAGGCACATACGTGTACACACACATGTATATATATATATATACACATTTTATAAACATGCACGTACATAGACATGTCTTCATGATTGTCATGATAACTGAACATCAACATCCATTTCCGCGTACAGCCATATTCCTTCCTACTTTGTTTGCCCCGCTGAATTATGAACATCTCTTTCCGCGTCCGGCCTTTCCAAGTTAGTGGACCAATAAACAGATCCGGTTGCTTTGGAAGAATGGTGGATGGCTCAAGACCTGGAGTCGAGATGCGCCTGTCATCTATTCAGTGTTTGTCTCTGCACAAGGGAGGCACGGCCAAGCAGCTTCTGCTCTTCAGAAAAGCTTGAGGAAAAGCTTCCGCCCGCCTTTCACCTCTTTCGCCCAGTCCTGAGGCATGCCCTGGCACCGCAAGGGCAACAAGGGTGCGTGTCATCCCTGCGAAGGCGGGGACCCTTCTTTTTATAGGCTCTGATGTCTTGTAACACAGGCGTGCGCAGGGCCTGCGAAGGTGCGCAGGCGACTCCTTTGCTTTGCAGGCATGGTGGCCATAAGTTCGGTGCCTCTCTACTTGCGAACACCTTGTGAGTTGACGAGTTGGGATGTTTCGCCCTGGGCAAGACGCTTATGCGCATTGCGCTCGCAGCGTTCCACAGGGAGAACCTCTCTCCATTCAAACATTGGCCAACAAAGGCAAGTTGATGGGCATTGAACAAGGTCCAGTTTGAAAGGACGAGTATTTGTTCAGAAGCGCTTGTTCGGCTCTTTCGAAATACTTCAGTGTAAGAGGACGTGCCGTTCATTAGATGTGCGAGCGAAGTTTGTTCATTCCGTGTTGAAGAAAGGTGCAGCAAATCTCATGAATCTAGCGTGAGGCTAAAATTCTGAATGCATAGGGGCTATGATGGGCTGGACATGTTGCTTTGTTGATCGTGGCCATGTGTAGTTCGGTCTGATGTTTTATGGCAAGCTGACAGTTACTGTGTCTCTTCGGTAAGGCCAAACTAAGTTTATGCAGAAGACGCAGTGGCACCAGTGACACAATCACATCGTAGGTTAGCTAGAGTTAACGCATGGTAAGAGCAAGGCAGCCGGATTCAATGCTGTTTGGCCTCATGCTTGTAGGACTAAGCCCGTTCGAAGCATGTTCCCACAGCAGAAGCTGCCGGATGCTGGAAGTTCTATCTTGCTTCCCATTCAAATGTACTCATGGAGGCCAGCGGTGATTTAAGAAAACAGCGTTCGACTTACCGAAGCAGCCGCACTGAGGTTTGGATATACTACCTTTGGTGTGGGTGTCCCTGGGCATGTTCGTGCTCAGCTGCCTTGCCTTTTTTTTCATCCAGACCAACCTGGCCCGGTTGCGCTTAGGGCAGGTCACAGTGTTCCTCACCGCTGGGCAGGCGCGGCCGACAGGCACTGTCACGTTAAAATTTGTTCAGGCTGCAGAAGAACAAGTCAGCAAGCAGAGTTCCAAGTGGTTCGAATATTTTGAAGTAAGTCTATAAGCCGAGTTGAGGTACAGTTCCTTTTGCTGTTGGTGTTACTGTAGAATAGGGCACGCAACTTGATTTCATAAATTTTGCACATCAAACGCGAAAGCTCGATGGGAGGTGTTCCAACAGTTTTCTCCGCAGGCGCCTTGCGGAAGGCATATACAGTGGTAATTTTCTGGGCCTGCGGCCTCTAGCCGGCCGGCTACGCCTCTTTGAAGTTATACCACGTCATGTCATGTTTTGTGCATGAGAAACGTATCCTGTGCTATGATATGGCTATGTTGCCCACCTTAACCCCAGATAATGCCGGGGATGCCGGCTTTCTGGGCCCCAGCCGGGCCCCGACCCAGAAGGCTGACATGGGGTCGCGCGCGCGCGCGCCAGAGGACCCGTAAATAGCAGCGTTTTGTGGCTGGGGTCGCGCGCGCGCCAAAAAGCCCGAACACCAACGAAAAAAAGCAAGGACTGCGCAGCGCGCGAGCCAGCCACAGCAAAAGCAAAACGGACAGAACAACAGCCTAACGCTCAGCGCAGCAGTTTTTTGCGGTATTTACAGCGTTTTGGAGCGCGAGGACCCAGCATCACCGGCATGCCCGGCAGCGCTTGGCCAGCCCAAAAAGAACAGCCCGCAAGCCAGCCCAGAAACGCAAAAGCAACAAAACACCGTAAATAGCAGCGTTTTGTGGCTGGGGTCGCGCGCGCGCGCCAAAAGGCCCGAAAACCAACGCGAAAAAAGCAAGGACCGCGCAGCACGCGAGCCAGCCACAGCAAAAGCAAAACGGACAGAACAACAGCCGATCGTTTAGCACAGCAGTTTTTGACGGTATTTACAGCGTTTTGTAGAGCGAGGACCCAGCATCGCCGGCATGCCCGGCAGCGCTTGGCGCCAAAATGCGCAAAAATGAGCCTCGCTTATATCCCTCCGATACCTTCTAAAAAACAGTGCTTTTTGGGTTGAGAGGCTTTTTGGAAGGAAGTCTGGATGATGCAGACCAAGCCCCGCTGAAGAACCCATACAAAACCAGCAAAAACACTCGGTTTTTCTACTGGTTCGCCAAAAACGCTGCCAGAAATCGGGTTCGGCCGGGGAGAGGTGAGCCCTGCCTGCTAAGCAGGTTTCCACTTTTTCCACGTTTGCGCCCGGCCTTGAACCCATACAAAACTATCGAAAACACAGTGTTTTTCTGCGGTTCACCGAAAAGCCTACCAAAAATCGAGTTCGGCCGGGACCGTTGAAGCCTGCCTGCTAAGCAGGTTTCCATATTTTCCACGTTTGCGCCCGCCAAAAACCTTCAACAACACTGTGTTTTTGCACGTTCTCGGCAAAATTGGCCCGACTCAGGGGACAACATCCCCAGCATCCCCCGCATCACCGGCCTTATCCGCATCAATGTCCGCCATGGATGCGGACGACGCAGGTGATATGCTCAACAAGTCGTCAAAAATCGCCTGAACAAATTCACAAATCCTTCGCCCCTTAGCAGTGAATGCAGCCTCCGTTCGACACGGAGTGAACGTGGAGTGAACCTAGAGTGGGGCTAGAGTGAACCTAGAGTGGGTCGGCGGCAGGGGGCGCGAGCCTTATAACCTTTGGTTAGAGGGAACCGAAGGCCTCCGGGGAAACCACGGCTCGGGGCGCCCGGATTTAAGGGCTTACGCCTGACAGCCGGGCGCCCCGAAAAGCGTCAGTGTTCCACGTGCTGTCATGTTTTTCGCAACTGCGCGGCCTGGAACCCATACAAAACCAGCAAAAACACTTGGTTTTTCTACTGGTTCGCAAAAAACGCTGCCAGAAAGCGGGTTCGGCCGGGGAGAGGTGAGCCCTGCCTGCTAAGCAGGTTTCCACATTCTCCACGTTTGCGCCCGGCCTTGAATCCATACAAAACTATAGAAAACACAGTGTTTTTTCTGCGGTTCACCGAAAAGCCTACCAAAAATCGAGTTCGGCCGGGACCGTTGAAGCCTGCCTGCTAAGCAGGTTTCCATATTTTCCACGTTTGCGCCCGCAAAAAACCTTCAACAACACTGTTTTTTTGGCACGTTCTCGGCAAAATTGGCCCGACTCAGGGGACAACATCCCCAGCATCCCCCGCATCACCGGCCTTATCCGCATCAATGTCCGCCATGGATGCGGACGACGCAGGTGATATGCTCAACAAGTCGTCAAAAATCGCCTGAACAAATTCACCCCTTAGCAGTGAAATGCAGCCGAGTGAACCTAGAGTGAACCTAGAGTGAACCTAGAGTGGGTCGGCGGCAGGGGGCGCGAGCCTTATAACCTTCGGTTAGAGGGAACCGAAGGCTCGGGGCGCCCGGATTAACCAGGCTCCCGCCTGCTGCCGCCGACCCTCGGCGCATGAAGGGAAAAGTCACAAGGACCGGTCCTGAAACATGTCCGCAAACCCAGGGACCACTGATAAGATCCTCTACGACCACAAACAAGGATTAACGGAAAAGTCAGAAATATGGCAGCTAGTCCGTTAATTACCGCTTGGGCCGGCTTCTGCGCAGCCAAGTGGGCAAAATACAAGCGCAGCCTAGCAGCTATGCTTGCATGAGGAGAGGTCTGGAAGCACGTTGAAGCTCTGAAGTTCATGGAAGGCACCCTTTGACCCACATGCCGGGAGAGTGTTGCAGATAATTTGATTGATTCTGACGAAGGACCTGCAAGGAATGAATCGACTGGGGAACATATGGGGGCGTGGCTAGGGCCGGAAAGGTGCCGGGGATGAGGGCAGGCAATGGCGGTGCATGCGGAGGGGGACACAGGCGATTGTCACTCTAGAAACCTAGCATGTTGCACACCAGCAGAATTTGTCTCAGTGCGTCGGACAGTTGCCGGACCGTTGCCGGACCAGACCTGAGAAAGCGATTAGCGGGAGCAAGTTTGCCATGAACATATTGCACAAGTCGTTTCTTTTGAATTGCGAGATTGGCCTCAATGATATTTGGAAGGGCGTGCCATTGTTCATGACGCTGCCGTTTGGCACATGGCACGTGGCCAGTGGATGCCCAATGCTGGGCTTGTCAGGTCATCATGCTAATGCAGTTGATGGCCGCTGTGAAGAACCTGAACCTGGCATGGACAGGCAAGTCATCAGACAGATTGCTGGATGCAAACATTGCTCGAGCTCCCGTTACTTCTGGATAAAGGCTGTGACACTGTCTATGCAGTCCGTTGAGTTGATGTTCCTTGTGGACCAATTCAAATTGCTAAGATTCCCCAGACTGTGGCACCCCTGCTCGAGCTCCCGTTACTTCTGGATAAAGGCTGTGACACAGTCTATGCAGTCCATGGAGTCGATGTTCCTTGTGGACCAATTCAAATTGCTAAGATTCCCCAGACTGTGGCACCCCTCGCCAAGCCCATGAGCGGTTCGGACTGTCCAGACTGCCTGCAGGTCTCAAGTGATCAAGCAACTTCATGTGCATGGGACCAGCATCCGGTGGCATGACACTCACATCGCACTGCTCACCCATCAGCCCACCTTAACCTCAGACACTGTGATTCCCAAACACCGACCTGACAACCACCCACCCAACACTCGCCCAGAGCTCCAACCTTGATATCTTCAACCTTTGTTTTTATGGGAACGCATGATTTGACTTGAGTTCCGCGTCAGCTTACTTTTGTTCAGCCTAAAGCCAGACAATCGAATGTGACCGTCCTCCCTTGCCCGTCATCAGGCTGCAAGAAGAACCATGAATCTACCTCAGAGGAAAATTTAACATTCTCAGCCTTTGGTCCCCTCTTGAAGTTAGCAGCAATAATCTTTGCTCGAGTAGGCGGTGCCGGCCCCATGGACGACAGCATGAACACATCTGTTGTTTGGTGTGTTGCAACAACAACAACAACAACAACAACAACAACAACAACAACAACAACAACAACAACAACAACAACAACAACAAACAGCCAACAGCCAACAGCCAACAGCCAACAGCCAACAGCCAACAGCCAACAGCCAACAGCCAACAGCCAACAACCAACAGCCAACAGCCAACAGCCAACAACCAACAACCAACAACCAACAACCAAAAGCAACAACCAACAACCAACAACCAACAACCAACAACCAACAACCAACAACAACAACACCAACACCAACACCAACACCAACACCAGCCACAGCCACAGCCACAGCCACAACCCACAACTCACAACCCACAACCCACAACCAACAACAAAACAACAAACAACCAACAACCAACAACCAACAAACAACAAACAAACAACAAACAACAAACAACAAACAAACAACAAACAACACACAACACACAACACGCAACAAACAACACACAACAGACAACAGACAACAGACAACAAACAACAAACAACAAATAACAAATAACAACCAAAAACCAACAACCAACAACCACCAACCAACAACCAACAACCAACAACCAACAACCACCAACCAACAACCAACAACCAACAACCGACAACCAACAGCCAACAGCCAACAGCCAACTGCCAACTGCCAACTGCCAACTGCCAACTGCCAACAGCCAACAGCCAACAGCCAACAGCCAACAGCAAAC